CATGTCAACTCCAGCCAGCCAGTTGCTCGTTGCAAGTGAAAGGTTCTCCTGTGTTCAGTGTATGGAGTACCATTGAACAGCGAAATTAGTCAGAAAAGTTTTTCGTTTTTCAAAGCGTTTGGCGGGCTAACAGAATCAACAGGGAGTGCCCGCCTTGGAAGTCCGTGCCGTTATTGTACTGCGTTCCCTAACGATGAACGTTACTTCTCTTCGGTCCTTCGCGTAGCACAGCCGTTGTTAGTTAACATGATTGCAACTACATTAAATTGATTACATCCTCTGTTCTGCTTTATTTCAAGTATCTCTCTATGAAGTAGCCACTGTTATTTCTACTAGAATTTGTATCAAAGGTGCTTATTAGCTACCACTTTATTAACCTAAATTCCATATTTTATAAAGAATGTATGATTTGTCGCCATAATTATAATCATGATCATCGAAACCTGATTATGACGCACATCTGCGGTGAAGTTCTCAAGCGGCATTGACATTAGCGCAACTAGTGGCGTATTAATGTACAGTCCTGAAATTGTTTGTAGTGATATGTCGAAGATAAATATGAAATTTTTGCCGAGACTGTCTTTTGTAAAATGAAAATGACAATATGGTGGCAATGCGAAAACAATTGTCTATTTTACCTTTGTTTTGGAGCTAGACATGTGGAATGCGGCAATGTGAAAACAATTGGCTATTTTACATTTGTTTTGGAGCTAGACATGTGGAATGTAGTATGGGAAATTGAAATGGTATATAAAATTATAAATGTTTGAAGACAAAGGACTCGGGATAATATTTGAATCTAAGAAGGATGAAGTAAGTTAGTCCTCTGATGTGTTACATAAAGAGGAGCCTTTGATTTATAAATACGCGTGCTTAGTAGTGATACAGTAAAAGTTAAAGTTGCCTCTGTACTTGAGCACCGCCAATGAAAACGTATGTGGGAGTGGGGGGGTGGAGCTCCACGCATTCTTAAACTTGACACTAGATGAAGCTGAATGACAGCTTCACGCTGCCACCTCTTTACCCCCGGGAACGTCCAGTGAAATATTGACTGAGGCTTCCTTCAGTGTTAACGGTGTTGAACCTTCGGCTTTTGTTACGAGACAGTTACTTTGGCTTTACAAAGATGGTGATATTGTGAAGGTTTGAAATTGCATCGTGCAAATAGCGAAAAGTGTTCATAGAAATTGATAAATAAATTGTATATTTATTAATCCAAGGAAAGATCATACTTCTCTTAAGAAATTCTTGTACGAAATTCTAAGCTATGTTCTTGTATCGAATGTTGTTACGAATTCCAAGATTGTTGCTATGAAATTTCCAGTAATATTAATCTGTTTCATACTACTGAAACGTAACGAGCCCTTTTCAAATTGAACGTTTTCGTGGTTGTCCAAGTCACTCCGAACAATTTTTTTTTTATAATCCTGGGGTCTCGGGTTCGATTCCCGGCGGTGCCCGAATTTATAACTTGTGTTGGGCAAGGCCGTGGTCTAGGCAACACGGAGTTTTCCTCCGTGGCATCCCAACAATTACTCCATTCACACACAGAAGAAGGCAATGGCAAACCACTTCTGGTTCATCTGCCAAGAACGTATATGAACAGGTCCCAGTCCGAGAAAAGGATGGAACGATCCTGTTCATATGGACCTGTCGTCTGACAGAACACTAAATAATAATAAATAATAAAATGTCTTAAGATTAGCCATGGTAGCTTCCTTCCACACCTTGACTAATTCATATCTAAATGTATTCGACGCGTGCAGTTGATAACATGTCGTTAAATAAACAAAAATAACAGTTTCTGTAGGTGTGTGTGCATCTAGCGTTGTTCCATTTGGATCTCGCTACAGGAGCCAGCCTCTGAAGTCAAGTCATTAGCGAGCACCTCATCTTCCTCCCTCCCTCCGTCCCTCTTTGCCGCATCTAGACGTTTTGTACGACGTGGAAACACTCGACGTTTGCCTCTAAAAGGGAAAGGGTGAGGCAGCGCGGTCATGCATGAATATTGATGACTCTACTGAATTCGTTAGGTAGCGGCAACCCGGGTATAGTGGTCTCGTTATCAATAAACATGACTTCATTTAGGGGCAGGTAAAGCTTTAGAAACATTCTATTTGAATGATGAAGGAACTGTAGGAATTGGCAAGGGACTTTTTATAGATATGTGCTCCTAACCTGATACAATAAAACCTGTCTAAAACGGAATATTCATCAAGCGGAAACATGCGAATTTATCGGAGAATATCTCTGATTAGGATATTACTGGTATAGGCTGAGCATCAGTGTAATATGTCTATGATGAATAGAAACATTGTAAGAGAAAACAGGAATGAAAATGAACACGAATCAACGGGAAATAGTCCACTTGATTATTACTTTCTATTGATAGAATTTTCTTCGCAGTATATTTATTGAAATAGGTGTGAGTGGGAGAATCTGTCCTATCGTCGCACACTGTGTAGGGCTGCATAACGCTTTAAGAAATACTTGCGGGTGGGGGTGGGGGGGGATAACAAAAGAGAAAAATGCAAGTGTATGCACTACTCAATAACAGTGTAGCGTATAATATGAATTCAGGATTTCTGGTTTGGAAGGAAATATAAATAATTTTACAGTTCCCACTTTTCGCCAGATATTATTTTGATGAATAAAAAAGGGGAATGTGCGACACATGTAGGACGCGCAGGATGACAAATGAGTACAAAATTTTAACCGAAAAATATATTTACAGAAATAGTATGTGAGGGTGTGGACTGGGTTCGATTAGCTTAGGATACGATCTAGTGACAGACTTATGTTAGCACGGTAAGATAATGCTTCTCAAGGTCACATAAACATAGGAAATTTGAATTTCTTGGCTTTCTAAACGAATGTGTCTTTATCTTAAGTAGATAGTGTAACAGTTTTCGAGTTGAATAATAACCACTACTCCTAACAGCAGCACTAAGCCTATCATAAGCCACAAAATTAGAGCAATATAATTTTAAATTATGCCATGAAAGTAATTAATTGTGTACGTCTGTGTATATTTTACGTGCAGATGGAACAGTCGGTACGAATTAGATCATAAAGTGTACTATGAATGTTCATATAATTTGTTTGTTCTGTGTTTGAAGTTTAACTTGGATACAATTCACGGAAAATGTGTGTTAGTAAAACACTTCAATTAACGGTATTATTTCCAATTAATAAACTACAATAGAGGATTTAATTAACTTTATTTGCTCCTATTATATTTTTAATTCTGCCGTTACTGAACTGTAAAGCAACGAAAACAAAAGTATCAATTACATTCATATTATATATATATATATATCTGCTAGTGTGGGGTATATTATGATTCCGAATAATTATATCATATGACTTATTGCAGTACATATCTCCCTTGGCTAGTTTGTATTTAACTGTTAGAAAATCCTCCGAATTTACAGATTAGTGGAAGATTTATTATCATGTCTATAAAAGCCAACTATTAGACCATAAACATAGCCAGTTGAATTCAATTCACAGTTTCACAACTCATCTCTCATAAAATACATACGTAGTAATATTATCCTTTCATTTGCGTCTTCATCTCAAAAGTCTCTCCTTCATTTGATATTTTCTGACCAAAATTTTATGTGTATTTCTGATTTTACCCATGTGTACTATGTGCTCCACCCATCTCATCCTCCTTTATTGAATAATCGTAACAATTCTTGCTTAAGAGTACAGATGATGAAGCTTCTCACTTTGTACACAATTATTTGTTCTCCGTATTATTGTCTCTGTCTTAGATCCAAATATTCTCCCCAGCTCTCGATTATCAAGACGTCCTCAGTCTGTTTTCCTTTAATATGAGAGACCAAGCTTCACGCTCATGCAGTACTCAGATAAAACTATACAAGCGCAGTTTCATATACTATACGAGAATTGTTCTATTACCCTTTGTCTCATGCGTGTTGTATGTACACGACAACACGAGTTGGCTTTGCCCCCGTCTTAACGTGATTATTGGGTGTCACAAAACTTACAACATTTGTTATTATATTAATGGTGAAGTTTGAGAATCGAACCCGGGATATTTTAATATTAAGCTAATTCGTTAACCAAGAGACTTTTAAACAGTCGTATTTTTTATGTTAGATTTTTATATCAGACCCGGAAGATGAAGAATTCTGAACTGAATAGTGGGAAGTATTACTCGAATGCAGTGTGTCCTTAATTTTATCATGGATAGGATATTTATTTAGAAGATTGTTGTCTTCTGATTTGTAGCGCCGTACAGTTTGGTAGAGGTTTACCAACGTTACGGAGGTCCTTGCTGCCTCCATCATCTGGTCTACTTAGGTTTTTTTTATTTATTTTAATTATCGAGTCGGCCTACTTCATATTTCCCATATTCGAGTGTTTAGTGAAGATATTCATGTAACATTATTGTACGAATAGCTCAGTATTACAGAGGAAGTTGTGAAACTTGCGCGGACATAGGAGGTCTACTATTGAAATGGATTTTAGATAATATTTTCTGATGATCTTAACTTGAATTTAATTGGCGCTGGATGCGACTCAAATGGAAGTTTTATGAAAAAAAAAAGGGATGAAATCACTGGTCATAATTTTTATGAAAAAAGGGATGAAATCACTGGTCATACCATAAAACATTTTTTTTTGCTATGTTGAATATTCCTACCCAATACCATAGAGTTAATTAATTAACGATACCTACTTTTTATTGATTTTTATGTCAATTAAAATGTTGTTTCAGATGAATATGTCATATACGAGCTCAGGAAACGCCTAGATTAACACGATATTTTGGTAGTAAGTTTGTCGTGGGTTATGTTATGGTACTATCCTGATAATGGCCTGGAGAGACTGAGAAAAAAGTAAAAGCCTGACAGAATAGTCAGTAACAGTCGATTTTTGAATCGTTGCCTTCGTAATGTGGCTGTAGAGTGCTACCGTTGCACGCATTGGGTAAGAGCCAGACTCAAGTGAGTTATTCGTCTTCACAGATGAGGAGGACCTTTTCATGGTGTCAGACCTTCTGCTGGGAGGAGACCTGCGCTACCACGTGCAACAGGAAGTGACGTTCAGCGAGGACTGCGTCAAACTTTACGTGTGTGAACTGGCCCTCGCTCTGGATTACCTGCAGAGCAAGCGAATCGTCCATAGGTGAGACTTGTCTGTGTCTGAATCATCTGTCGACATTGTTTCTTTACTCTGCATGGAGGAACAAATTATTTTTGCCGTTGTATTTCGTTGAATATTGACCAAATGCAAAACGTTTCAAAATTTTTTTTGTGGATTTAATAAGTCTGTATAGTTTATAGTACGTAGCAGTTTTTATTTTATCAACAGTTGTCATGGCATAAATGAAGTTGGATTTGATCGAAATTCGTCAGGTGCTGAGATAATAAAGTTGCGTCATATTGTGATAAATATATATTTGTTTAAATCTTGTCAGTCTAATCACAATAAAAATTCCTATTAAATATTAAAATATTACCATAATTAACATTTAAATATTTAAAATATATTAAATAATATTCTCTATCGAAATGTTCGATTTACATTAGCTCAACACTTTTTACACGACATGTTTCAGTTCTAAAAGAACCATCTTCAGGTGTATAAAATTATATAGACTTAAATATAATTTCTTAAATGCAACTTTTAGTCAGATGTTTATCAGATTTCAAATGATGTTTTCTTCCAGATTTTATTGTATTTTTTTAATATCGTATTCGAAGTTGTTCTGTATGTACGTCGTGCTTAACATGATTTTGTGTTGTTGTGTTGTTGTTTTTGTATCATCCAGAAATGAAGTTGTGGAGGAGTTACGTCCGTCTGGAAGTATTACCGTGCTTTTGCAGATAAAGTATGTAGGCGGTCGAACACAGACACGGGTACATCCAAACGCCCCAGTGTTCATTAATTTGACGCAATCGTGTAAAGAACGATTACAGATTGATCAGCTCCGCGTCGAGAGGCGCCAACGTATTGTATTGCACTACTGAGTCTTTGATACGCGAACAACTTAGGTGGAACCAGGGAGTGCTTTTTTAGGCTGTGCTAAAATGTTTGTTGTCGCTACTGTAGCGGAAATTACGAACTTTGATCTCACTTCTGAGAAACTGACAAAGTTTAATCTGCATACAGTTATGGAAAATATCCTCAGGAGGTTATTTTGACTTTAGCAGGGAGTATTCTCCCGGTTAAAACCACTTACGTTAACTGCAGCAATATGTCGTGCCTGTGAAGATACCAACATTTATGCATTATATAATCTAATGTTTACCGATAAAACAGTCCTTACTTCTCTTGACAGTCATTTTGTAAAACGGTGTAAATGGTCTGTGTTAATCTTTGAGATAAAATAAATTAAAACTGAATCTTAAGAAGACGATTAGAAAGTTGTACACCTGTGGAGTATGGATGTCTTCCAAATGCGTTTCTTGGTGTTTTCATAGGCTGCTTTTAAACTGAGCCATTTTTTTAAGAAATTTGATGAAGTTTAATTTAAAAAAATTTATAGAATTTGAGGTTTCCACGGCGGTGAGTTTGAAGATGGCTGTCTTCTGGGTTGTTGCGACGTGTAGCCTAGTAGACGTTTACAGACGTTTCACTGGTCCTTGTTGCTCCATAATCAGGGCTCATCGCCAAACTTCTGCCAGACTACACGGCGCAACAACCCAGATGACAGCCATTCTTAAACAAATTTCATGAAGTTTAATTTAAACAAGATTTACATGTAAAATTTTGGTTGTGACCGAGAAATATATGACAGGATAAGGACGACTGATTTGAAAAATAGGTTGTGAGGATGGTAAGTGGATAGAACTGGCTCACAGTCGTTGCCTATTATTGATTTAATTGTTAACTGTGCTGAACTTTCGAGATCTGCGTTAGTGGGTTATTTGATTAATAAGCTTGTTTGTTAGCTGTGAAGTTACTTAATTAGCATGTGTGGATTAGAAAATTAATCGGTCGGTTTAGCTAATAACTCTATTACATAATTAGGCAGTAACCTGGTCTAGTAATTAATTAAACAGTCGCTTACATGGTCAGTTGAAACCCTCCGATTCGGCGCAGGTTTTGCAGTGTGACAGTGAAATATTTTCTGGTTTCCTGGACAAGTGATATGTCGACATTCCACTGTTTCATCTTAAGTCTTATGAAAGGAGAGGCACTTAAGTTATCAGCTGTAACTTAGATGGTAGTGCGTTTGCCCGCGATGCGGACAGTCGGGGTTATATCTTCAGTGAAGTGATTTGTTTTTTAATCGCCGTCCCTAGGACGACTTTGGCTAATATACTGATTTCAATTCTGCCCATTTAAAATTATTTTCATTTTTTTGAGTTCGTTTTATTACTAACTACGCTAAAAATATACCGTGGACTAAGGGACGTTTAACTATTTATTATTCACAGAAGCAAGGACAAATAAACAGCACGTTACAAATAGTGGAGTGTCAACACTTAGTACAGGCTGTTCCAAAAATATGTATGCACGCAAGGTTAATATTCCTTATTATAATGTGTTTTCATCTTTTTGGGGCATTCTGTATTTTAGCCAGGAAGTCGGGGGAGAGGTTTTCACAGCGGTGAGTATGAAGATTTCTGTCTTGTGGGTTGTTGCAAAACCGGAGCTAAATTGGAAGACATTTCAATCGACAGGGCTCCTTTATTATGCACTCAGGTAATTAATAAATTAATGGGTTAGTTAACAAATCGGCCAGTTTGTTAACTAATCTTTCATTAACTTCAGTCGCCGCGAAAGCTTCATTTTGCTTTGCGCCGACTGTACCTCAGCTGCCCGCACACACAATCTTATGATGTTTTATATATATATATATTCGGCGCATTAACGGCGCACTGGGAAGCGCGTACTAGCCATTTACAGTGTAACAAAAACGTTCTCTCAATAAAGTTCGGCTTTGCAAGCAGGAAAAGAGGTTCATAGTGGCACTAAAGATTTTGTGGTGTATCCTGCTGAGATGAGTAGGAGTAGATAGGCAATCAGAAAGGAACCATTCACACAGCCGATCTCCTGGCCTTAGTCCGTACTTATTCTTCAACTGTAGAGCTCTAGAATAATGAACGATAAGTTGCTTAGGATCACTTTCGCCTTGCTACTTCGTAACTTTCGATCTTATGTTTTATTGTTCAGAGGTTTATTAAATGACGTTGATGGTAGTAGGGTTAAGTGTGAGCACGAAACAGTTCTTGAACAGGCTTCTCCAGTAAGATGTTTTCACTGCGAGAAGAGTTCAGATTTTGTCGTTCTTGGTTATGGCACAGAGTAGTTTTGTATATGGTTAGGTCTGCTGACGTTTCGGAGGAACATACTACTCCATCTTCAGATTTGGTATGGCACGGCTAGTCTGTCGTAGTTGAATACAAAACTGAAGTTTATACTTTGGCGATTTCAAATCATCTGTTACAGTTTCTGTATTCCTCCCACGTTTTCTCTGACCATTTCTATTTGTGTCTCAGGCGTGAATATAGTCTACTTCCATGGCTTTAGAAGGAAATTGAAAACGTGTCTCGCTTTATAATATAAAATAAAATGAGCCCGAGTATCATTAGTCAAGGTATATTACGTGTTTGCTACAAGGCGTCGTCTGTATGAAAGCCACGATGGTTTACTGTGTTTAAGCACTCCCGATTTAAATTTATCAGAATTTATCCCCTTACTGTGGAGGCCACTAAATTTTTTACGTAACTTTCAAATTATAGCAACAAACAAATCAAAATTCCACTGTCTCTGTGTGAAAGTTGTCACTAATTTTCATCGCAACGTCTTCAATTTTACTTTATCTCTAACAGAAGGACGAACGAGCATTGCCTGGGAACCTTCTACATATATATAAATGTCTCTCACTTCTTCCCCATCAAAAGGGTTCTGTGTTTCTTGGCTGTAACTGTCTCCGTTGTGCGGAGTCTTTCTTTAGAAGGTAATAAGTATTTGTTTAAGTTGTCAACAGATTACACGTCTTTACACGTGTTCTGTCGAACTCGGGGGGGTTCATTACCGTGTTAAGATCCAGTCACTGGATCCAATCCTAAGCCAGATGAATCCAATCCACACCATTTCTTCCAGATTAATCATCTGTGCGTCTAGGTCTCCTAAGTTTCAAACTTCGCCCGTTTTAGCATTTGTCATTTATCTCACATATGCGACATGCCCCGCCCATCTCACTTCGCCCGTTTTAGGCTTAGATATTCCCTTGACCGCTGTCGGCAGAAATAAATGTTACTGCCTTAGTGAGAGTTCTCGGATGGAGGAGACACCCTTGAAGTGTAGAGGGTGTCTGCGAATATACGGTCGACAGGGGGACGATTCTTAAGCTCGGGAGTTAAATGTGGAGCTAACAACCCCTAAGCATAAAAATGCCGTGTTATAAAATGTTATAAAGAATCAATATGGACGCAGACTTTGACATGACCTAGGAAAAGGGGAGAAATAAACAACATGAACGTCGACTCTCTGTAGACCAGTGGTATTCAACCTTTCTTTGTTCTCGAGTTGAATCATGTGTCTTAATTTCTTACACATCGTTCAAAGAACGCGTAATAACTCATTTTGAAACCATGTCAAGAAACAGGACGATAATTCCTACACTGTCTACCTGTAGGCTTCGTATTGAGAGGATTATTACAATACATTTTAAATTAAAATCGATGTTAAGTTCATAGTGAAATACATTAGGTAGGATTTGAAGTTCTCACGGCGGTGAGTCTGAAGAAAACGGCCATCTTCGAAATACATAAGATTTTCAGTCATTTTAACCGCTTAACTTCGTCTAAGTTTCAACATAAATCCCCATCTCTGGCACTACTTTGTATATCTCGTTGTGTTAGAAGCAAACCAGAATTTCCTCAGCTGTTTGGGCACCGGGTTATGTTAAGTTTCACAGAACATTCTCTTCAATTTCCGAGATTACATCGCAGTCATTATTTTTCAGCATCTTGTCTACAGTAGCTGTCAGCATTTCAGCGACTTTCCACTTTCACGGCGAAGAAGTTAATTTATCGTACGTTACGCCTCCTGCCTTATAGAACGCGCGTTTTAACTTCCGGGAAAACTAACGAGTTTTTGATTAGTGCTTCTACTTCGAAAGATCCAGAGTTCAAAAGTAATGCCGTTTAACCTGAGGACGCTTTTACGGTTCCGAAGGCAGTCAAATATGTAATGCCGTTTAACCTGAGGGCCCTTTTACGGTTCCGAAGGCAGTCAAATAAATAAATAAATAAATAAAAATAATACAGAACCAGAGGCAGAGATAAGAGGAGTGTGGTTATGGTTAGGAAGAATATTTTGTTTGCCGTCACACACAACAGACGATGGAAATAATTATGTTGCAACATGCTCAAATTAAAATCTTTTAATACGTGCATTGATAATTGTTAGCACTAGGTTTGTACCATGGAATCCCGCTTAACGTTTTACATGCCTAATTGCAGTTGTTAATTAGCTGTCACTGTTAAACTGAAATTCAAATATGATTCTCTGCACGACAGCCATGTTGTTTCACTAACACAAAAAAAATTGCCTTTATGAAAGCTGAATTTTCTTCAGTGATCTGCACCGCGATCCGACATTAAGTGGCGCTGGTGTCTTCTCCACAAGAATTGCTGATTGGGATGGTCTCCTATGGTTAATTCATAATTGAAACCGTCTAGCAGTTCCGAGTTCAAATATGCGGATAGACGCTATCAATCTCTTTGCGTTAACCTTGCGCCCACGATACAAAACACGCGTAACACTCCAAAAGATTAAATTGAATTTCTCTAGTTATTTCGTCTAAAAGCTTTCCAATTGCGTCATAATTCGGCCGGACTCACAGAACTTTCTTTCTCTTTTACAGGGACATCAAACCAGACAACATTCTGCTAGACGAAGAAGGTGAGTGTTATTCAGTCACCTTAATTATATTTCCTTTTTTGCGTTTTAAGGGTTATATTTTCTTCCTTTTACCCAAAGAACTGTTTAATTTTACGTTGTTTGTACGTATTTGGCTTTTCCCCTTCGCCATCAGCATCCCATTACACTACTCTTTTCCCCTTATCTTCATCTTCGCCATCAGCATCCCATTACACTACAGGATTTTACGAACTGTAGCAGAAATTAAATTAGTTTCCAGATGCCATGAGAAGTCTATTATATTCTACCAAAGATGGGAACAAAAATCTAGAAGCCTCGTGCCTTACATAAAACTGTGTGTCTGAAGGTGAAAGGAAATACTTTCTCTGTATATTCTTACACACTTTGGCTCACTATTTGATTTTGTGAAAATTCCTGCACAAATTAAGTCAGTTCTTTCTCGTTATTGATGTAGGGTGTAGGGTCTTCTTTGAGCTCTTCCTTTGAGAACGCTGGTGTAACACTACACCGTTGAACATTTATTAGGACGGTTCCTGATTCGTATCTCGCCAGGTTACTGGCTATCCTGACTGAAACTTTTTGTATTTTTTCTTTCCATGGGATTACTGGATAATATCATCAAGTAGCTCACGAACACCTCCTTCCAAATCCTTACCTATTGACGATGTATGATTATCTTAGGCGCCTAGGCCATATAATTTTCTTTTCTTTTCTGGTCTTATTTGACGAAATGTGACATCTTAAGTTGACATAATAAGAAGATGGCGGTAAACTTCTACCAGACTACACAGCGCAACAACTCAGAAGACTGCCGTCTTCAGACTCACCGCCGTCAAAAACCTCACATCCCACATTGATTTAATTAAGTGAAATAATCAGATAACCAACCAGATTAGATGACGTCTTATCGCAAAACTGGCTTGAAGCAGAAATCTACAGATTTCGATAAATTAACTGTTCAATTCTATCATTCGAAAATTTGAGCGATCCTTTAATGAAAGTGTTCTGAAGTTGGTTATTCTGAGTTTATCCGCCGTCCTTATAAACGACTAACGAGTAGTATCCATTACCTCAACACGGATAAATTTAATTTCCGATTGCGTACATCAGCTTTGATAGGACATTTCACAAAACAAAATACATTATCTATAGAAAGATGTGATCAATGCTCAGCATGAGACGACATGACGGTAGTCTCAATAATAAACTTTACGCTTAAAAGGGAATAAAAATGGTGTACTGAAAACTTTCAGTGTCGTAGCGTAGCGTAGATGTAATTTATTTGAACGCTATATTCTTTTAGGCTCTTAATGTTTTGAACTTACTAAAAAAGTTACTTCCTGTGGGATTCAGTCGTCTGATGGCCTCGGGTCATTTCATTTTGTCTGTCCACCTGATTGTTTCCTTGGCTATTTCTATAAAGCCCACCTTAAGTCTATTCCATTCTTCTTCCAATTACAATACTTCGTCTTTGAGTAACTTAGTCTTCAAAAACTCTGAATATTTTCATATTTCCCTGATCTTTTAGCATCCATAATTTAATTTCTTAATCTATTATAGAGCCACGGTGTTCTAGCGGTTAGAACGCTGGCCTTGTAATCCTGGGGTCTCGGGTTCAATTCCCGGCGGTGCCCGAATTTATAACTTGTGTTGGGCAAGGCCGTGGTCTAGTTTTCCTCCGGGGGCTTCCCCGGTTTCTCCGTGGCATTCACACACAGAAGAAGGCAATGGCAAACCACTTCTGGATCATCTGCCAAGAACGTATATGAACAGGTCCCAGTCCGAGAAAAGGATGGAAGGATCCTGTTCATATGGACCTGTCGTCAGACAGAACACTAAAAAAAAATAAAATCTATTATCCTGCTTGTAGTCTCCAATTAGGATTCTGTGGTCTCCTTCTAAACTTATGATTGGTATTGCATTGAAGTTGTTTAAAATATTCGAGAAGTTTCTTGTCATGGTCCCAGATTTACCAAACCAATCGCCCAGTCATTTCTCTTACTTGTATCTAATAAGCCCTCCCCTTCAATATTTCCTTCACCTTCTTTACGAGTTCCCTTTATGTTCTTACATCCATTTCTGTCTTTTTCTCTTTGAGCATTAAAGTCTCTCATTATACAAATGCATTCCCCACCTGCTATGCTTTCTAGAATTTCTCCAAATTCTTTGTTCTTTTCTATGCTACATTCCTATTTGGGATGCAAATATCCGTAGGAAGTTCATTCATTTCATTCCCTTTTACAAAAATTTCTAGAAATAAATTAAATATCTATCACCTTCTCGGAATATGGTGGGCTTAAAGAATGTTTGCCAGCCTGTTTCTTTTCTTGGTGTTACCGGAACCAAATAGTCTCACACCTCTTTTCTTTGTTGTTTCCTCCTTTGTCCTATTAATTTTATTTCAACCAGCTCAAATATTTAGATTATTCTGCATGTCATGTTGTTTATTCAACCCTCAATTCTTCCTATTTTATTACGTGTTCCTACATTAAATGTCCTTGATCTTAGTCTTGTCTTCTTTGTCTCATTAACTATTATTTGAAACATTTTAAGACCTGAATGCTAGGAAAAATTATTTATAATTTTGAACAATGTAATTAACTTTGCAGCGTAAAATTTATACCTGAAAATGAAGATTATGAGATACACAAAATGGCAAGGAATTCACTTGGAAAATGTTTGTACTAAATTGGAGTACACTTTTCCACTCATGTTTTTACCCAGATCGTCTTTCTTTGGATATGTTCAGTTCTAAGAATTCTTAAACTGTGCTTTATCTGTAGACGGGGGCTAGTTTATGAGAGGATTCTTGTATTATAATAGATTAAATTAGAATTTTAGGGGACGGGCATCAAACCACGATAACACAGCTCTGTTATGATCAGAAGCCCTTCACCTTGAAACCTATTATTATATTAAATAATTATGTTACTAAGAATGTGCGGTTTAAAAATGTAACTTGAGCGTTTTTTTTCTTTCTTAATTCTAGGTCATGCACATATCACTACGGCTTAAAAATGTAACTTGAGCGTTCTTTTTTTTCCTTAATTCTAGGTCATGCACATATCACTGACTTCAACATTGCAACAGTCTTGGAGAATGGCGAGCTAGCTACTTCCATGTCAGGGACGAAACCCTACATGGGTATGTTACCAGTTTAGCAGTTTGAAATAAATTAAAAGCACCTAACTTGTTCCCTGGTTTTAAGGTTAAATCACGTCACAGCCATTAAGGAGAACAATGACAAAATGGAGGGACCAAGCACGGACATAACTCAAAATCGGTGATTTCTGAGTTACGTCACTATTGTTCTCAGCAGGAGATATGATGACAGGATCATCAGTCATATACATAGGATATTTTATTTGTGAATATCAGTAATAGAATTAAGTTTTAATTAGAATTTAGAAATAGAAATTAGTCTTTTAACCCACTCACAATCCTAAATGTATTCTCTGAGTTAGCCAAACAGAACGTGTCCAATCTGTTACATGTCACAGCCCCAGAGATATTTGAATGTGCAGCGGACGAATGTGTCGGATATGGCTTCCCCGTGGACTGGTGGTCACTGGGTGTTGTAGTCTACGAAATGTTTTATGGTGTACGCCCATTTGATATCCACTCGGCTACATCAGTGAGTGAAGTTCGAGGGTTATTTGTTGCTGGTGCGGTGTATCCAAGGTCCTCTAGAGCCAGCCACGGATTTGTTGATCTCATGGATAGGGTAAGTGTGTACAGCTAGTCGTAGTTTTGTTCATCCGATTTACAGTATAACACCTTACTTAATCCTTTGTCCTGAATTGTAAAATTTGTAAAAATGATTTTTTATGACACTGTATCATTCATAAGTATCACATAGATTCAAATGATTGAGGAATTTGGATACATGCAAAAGGAAGTAAAAGTTTGTCCCGGGTGAGTGATCGGCATCACGCCCCGGCCGTCCAGCCCGTAGCTAGTCACTATACCGACTGAGCTACCCCGGCTCATGTGAAAGAAAGTGGTCTTTAAAATATTATCCAAGCAATTACGTAAGGGAATTGAGAGAAACTAGAAAATCTTAGGATATCCAATCTTCTGGGTGAATTTCAAACTGTGGAGGTTCTCACAACAATGGAGTATTGACTGTGGTCTTCTAGGATGTGAATCTATGTGGTTTTATATGTGATATGTTCCTCTGAAATGTTGGCAACTACCTACAAGACCACACGGCATCACAACCCAGGAGATCATGATCAACATGGACTTTCAGGTATGAAAGAACAGTAGTAACCATTGTTTCATTATGTTTGTTCCGTGAATTTTGGTTTGATGAACAAAATTGACTTCACTATTGGTATTGTTAAGGATGAGCAGTTTTAATTTGCACATATACTACATTTACTTCTAATATTGCCCATGTACATTTGTTATAGTTATTGAACTTACCTAAAATTAAGGTTACTCACGGCATTTTGTTTGTTTTCAGTTATTATTTGTAAGACCTGGAGGCAGAATAAGCTCTGTGGAAGAGCTCAGGAAGGTACAGTGCCTTCGTGATATTAACCTGGAGTCTGTGTTGGAGAAACGAATAAAGCCTTCTTTTACACCACCAGTGAGTCAGTTAATATATTTTTATTAAACTGTACTGCAATAGCAGTGTTCAGATACAGCTTCATTGAGCCCGTCTGTTGAATTTCAGTTACAAAACGATTAATGTAATTAATACTGTCTGAAGACAGTTCATTATTTATTTATTAATGTTTCTCTTTCTTTCATTTCTTCTTTACTTATTTCTAACCCCTCTCTTCATTTATTTATTCCTTACTCTCTCTCTTCATGATCCAGTAAAATTATTTGTGGTACTTCCTCATGATAGCTAGAAAGCCTTTTGGAAAAACCATGACCAATTTAATTAAGTTATTTGTTTATCAGTGAATGAAGAATATTTATACTCACTAAGTAACTAACTCAGTAGTACAGAATTTCCTAAAAAAATATCAGTTACTCATCTGATAAATAAATTATTTTCTTTTATGGAATCTAAATGTTAATTACTGTTCTTAGAAGACCTCCATAGATCCTATCCTGAGTCAATTCAATCTGATACACTCCATCACATCCCACTTCTTTAATTAACATTTTAATGCCTAAGTCTCCAATGTGATATATTTCCATTATGTTTTCTGGCATTTCTAATTTCCCTCTTTCATGTTACATATACCTCCCATCTCATCCTTCTTTGATTTGTTGACCTAATCATATCAAGTGAAGAGTACAAATTATGAATTAACTAATGTACTTGATATATTGTATCTTCCCTCCCTCAGAGGGACCATCTGAATTGTGATCCTACATTTGAATTGGAAGAAATGATCGTAGAGACTCGGCCTTTGCACAAAAAGAAGAAACGCCTTGCAAAGCAACGTTCACTACGTGAAATGCAGGGTTCGCCCAGTGTTGACTTGGTGAGTTATCAGTAGACAAAGAAATGTGATGATCTTCACACACTTCCTCATTTTTATTGATACAGTTTTTCAGAGTAGTTTGTATTGAACATTAATACTTTTTGTACATTTTTCTTTTCCTCATATATCAACAAGAAATTTCTGAAAACTAAATTCTTCCATATACTCTCATGCATATTTCTTAAATGCAAATATTCAATTTGAGTGATTGCGACATAATTTATATTAATGCCACATAAAATTTTTAATTTGTATATTGTAAATAAATATGTTTAGACTTGGTGATGATAATAATAATAATTATATTTGTAATTGTTACTTATACTGTGTAATGTGAGACCAAAAGATTATTGATTCTCAGAAAATCCATTGCTTTAAGTCCAAGAAATATTCATGTTGAGACAAATAATGGCTTACATGGGTCAAATTTTTTTTTTCACCAACAGTGAAAGGATCAGGGTGAGATTTCTTATCTTACTCTAGAATATTTGTTTTATATTAGGATGGGAGTGGGGAGATGATGACAGAACGCTATATTCAACACCTTCCTCAGTTCCGGGTATACAATCGAGAGCAAGAACTCGCACGTCGGGAGAGAGAACAGAAAGAATCAGCATGGGAACAAGAGCTACTTCAAGCCATGAGGGCCTCTGACCCAACAGGGTCACAGGATGCTAGCAGTGGGGATCATAAAGTATCAGCCAGTGATACCACAGGCAGAGTAGTAATTCCCGGAGTAGGCTTACCGGACACAGACACTACTCCAGGTGAAAACAGGGGATGGCAGGTTTCTAAGAGTGGGAATTGTACAAGTACAGTTACTCCAACTGTGGACCAGACTATTAGAACTGGTTTTATCAGCAATTTTATTAGAAGAGACGAGACTGGTCGAAGGCACTCAGATCAGTCTTATAAAGGCACGTGCACAAAAGTCCTACCCCTTGTCAGGAACAAAAGTGAAATTACATCTTGTGGAGATGACATGCCCCAAGAGACTACAAGCCACTGTAAGTATAATGAACTTAGTGAAAAAGTATACAAGGCTTCTGACAATGGTTCAGGAAGCTCAGTAAAAGATCCTGAACACTGTGGATCATGTCCTAAATTATTCACAACAGAACAGTCCACTTCGAAGTCAAATTTATCCTCAGAGCCATTATATGACCAGGATGTTCTAGAAGAAAATGTTACATGCAGAAATCAACAGAAAACCTGTATAGTGCCTGAAAGTGCAGTACACCTGGATAATAATTATAAGTGCCAAATTGCAGACAAAGACAGTACAAATTATTTCCACATTCAAAGTCAGATCCTGGACAATTGTCAGCTGTATGAAACAAGGACGAGTGTTAAAGAGCAATATAAGGTTAAGGAACAAAGTATTCAAAATGACACAGTTAGTAATATTATAGATCACAACTTGTCTCAATATCAGGGCAATTCTGCAGCTGTGAACCAAAATATTGAATGCAGTAAACCTGGTTCTTCCAAAAGTCACTTGGATCCAACATGATGTAAGATGTATGGCTGTTAATTTGATAGAGTAGAATGTAATTTTTAACTGTGTGGAAGCCTGTATACCTCATGCAGCCGAAGCTTACTGGTTGAGGATGGTTAGAATGCAAAGTAATAATAGGCGTGAGGAATGGTTTCAGGTAGTCGCCTCTGTGCGCATGCATTCTAGACCTAGGAATTAGATGCAGGTCATTAATCAGCTTCATTGTCCAAGCACATAAACTCCCAGGAAAATAACCCCAGTATGCATCTGGTACGAGATTTGTAAGCTGGCCTGGACGTAATGTCAAAGAGAGAAATCATGTCAGTGCCAGAGACCAGTCACATGTCCTCAAGATCAAACAATAGAGTTAAAACTGAGTAGACACAAATCATAAAATTTTTGAAGCTGGATGCTGACGGCAATTCTTTTCGGCACATGGCGACTGAAAATATCACATCTAATTTGGCTGTCTTTCCACATGCTTTCATGTTGCATATAACGTATAAAATATTGGAATTGATCTCTTCTGCCCTAAATATCTGTGATGGATGACCTGAATGCAAATAAACTTGATGTTCATTTTCTTTACACGCGTCAGGGTAACAATTTTTAAACTAACAAAATGTAATTTGTTAGTTACCATGGAGTTGTACAATGAGAGTGGGAAGGTGTAGTATTTTCCATTTGCAGTCAAGAATAATTAATTTTAATATCTATGTTAAGAATCATCCATAGAAGATTGTAAATATATATATAAATTAATCTACTCATAAATATTTAATTACTTTTCACAGTTTGCCACTGAAATTTAGGGTACAAACTAACCTGAGGATGAAGATCAGACCCAACTACTGCTCATATTCATACAGAAGGAATGGGTAAAATCTGGATTAATAGCTTTGAGACTAATTACTGTAGATGATACTGTAAAGACAAAAGTCCTAGTGTTTAGGGACAATAATTGTTCCTATAATATTCAATGATATGTATCAAATGACCAGGCCTATGATAATCTTTCAAACCAGAAGATATGTAAGCACCTGTTGAAGTCCCCTTCAGTAACACTGCAGGCACTCTGCTAGTACTGTTTGAAAGGTCTGGAACTCAGTTCAAATGGCTAAGTTGGAATAACAGCAGTAGAGGTACATAGTCTAACATAATGAAATATATGTTATGAAATGATTATGTGTATTTCAGCACTGATAAACAGAAGACAAACTCAGAATCTGAGATATAAGGACAATGTTAATTAGTAGCCTATTTCCTTATTCTATAATATGCTTATGGTATGATCATGTTTGAATCTGTATATTTTTTAAGTAGTTTACAGATTTTCATAGAAATGGTATTTATGTCGCACTTATATCACTCAGTCTTCATGCTCATAATTCCTTAATTCATTAATACTAACATGATGAACCTGACATTATCAGTTTAAGATTCGTGTCAATACTACTATTCATATAGGGCCCTAAAATTTGCATTTTAAAAATTTATTTTATTTGTTCTATAGACTGTAAATACAAATATTTTGGTATCAATAACTGTACCTATAGTGTTTTTCAGTAGAATTGTCAGCTGAGTCAAGTTATGCTCTTTGTGAATGGCCTGTCAGCACAAAGGAGATCTTCTGCTCATAAATGGCGGAAGCTCAATCTGTTGAAAACCCACGTGACAGAAACATTGAGAGCCAAACTGCAAGTTTGCAATAATTCCTTGCACACTGTTGTAATTGTCTTTTCTGGAGAACCGTGTAGATTTGTATAGCTAAGCTTGTGAATTAATATGCAGTATTTACGAAGATTTGATTTTTTACCACTGTATATTTTGTTTCCTTGCTTTAGCCTGTCTCCTCTCTGGGGGAGCTACAGTACATGTGATTGGTGCAAGCCTCAGCCACCATTTTTGTTGAAAATCATTACAGGCATATTGAATTTGATATAAAGATGACCCATTAACATAAACTACCTAAAACAGGGGAGAGAGGCCTCCAGATCTCAATAGCAGGTTTCACTGAAATCCAATTCATCAGGTAATTTCAGAGATGAAAAATGGATTGATACTACCTTTCTAGTGTTAATTTTACACACCCCACACATAAGCATATAAAACATTTCTAATATAATAGTTTTATGAGATTAACCTGTAAGAAATATGCATATTTACATATTTTCTTAGCATTCTTAGAGTCCAGTGTAAAATATTCCTTTCTTCTGTTGGGTTCCAAATAACAGCTCCTTTGTGATACTTTAATGAGTTGTGCAACTCCTGGTTTAATTACAAACAGTATCATAAAAAAGGTCAGCACTAGGGAACCAGTGTGGAACAGGGCAATATTACAAACTTGCTTATTAAATTGATCAAGCTTGGAGTAAAATTATGAAGATTAAATTATACAAAATTATAACTGTACGTATTTTAACTTGGCCTCAAAGAAAGAACATATTTAATTAATAAAGTCTTCTCGGGTTATCAGCCGTGTTAGTTGGCGATTGATCACCAACTAACACGGCTGATAGCCCGAGAAGACTTTATTAATGAAAGCTGCCGTGAAAGCTTCGCATAACATATTTAATGTTTGAGAACAGAACTGAAGAGAATATTTTGACCTAAGAAAGAGGAAGTAATGGCAGGATGGAGAAAATTATTACATAAAGAGAAGTCCAAAATTTGGATACTTTACCTACTACTGTTAGGGTAACTAAATCAAGAAGGATGATGTGTGCGTCACAACCCACAGGGTAAAATGACAATATAATTTTGATCTTACAGAATGAGACACCTTCGTATAGATGGGAAATTAATATTAAATGGGCCTTAGACAAACGGGATTTGAAAGTGTGGAATGGATTCAGCTGACTCAAGACTGTGCCTTTGGTGTTACTGATGATATTTGTCAAGTTGATGGAAATGAGAAAGGTGAATAAAATATTTCAAGGCTGCCTGTGATAAATGAATCTAGCAAACTTAATTCTCACAGACTGATAATTTCATGTTTTCATGTTGCACTTCCCAGTTCATATTGTGGCCTCCCTACAAATTTTACTTTGAAGACGGAAAGGATGAAACATATACATATATAGTCTTTATAAAAAAAATAGCAGGTCTCTTTATTGATCTTCAATAATTATGTAATACAAAAAAATAACACATATTTCTGGTGTTCAAAAATGTCTGTGTTAATTTTAAATGTATGTTTAAAAATATACATTTAAGTTATATTTTATGAATTTTATTCTCTTGTAATAGTGTGATGTATATTTGAAAGTTGCTCTTAAGAAATGTATTTTACGTTCCTTTCATTAACAATCTTCCAATGCATACACTCATACATACATGCCAAGCACATAAAAAAGTAAATTAAATATGTAACTTACATAACTTCCTGAAGGACTATGTATCACGTTTTATTTTAGGAGAAATTGATGTGACTTAATAAAATGTAACAATTTAAAATTAGACACAAATGAGTTAACACTATATATATATGCATGAACGACATGTAAGTGAGGAACTGAGATATTTTTCTTCCTTTATAACTAAGAGCAGATAAAGTGTCCCTTGAATGAAATCAAGAATAAATTCAGTCCGACTATATATTTTTACTACAAACTACATACTTTCTCTAAGAAAGTAGGCCATTAAGTTATTTTAACCCCATGCTGCATTGTATTAAGTAAAATTATATGTCCTATGCTGAATTTGGAACACTGAAATGTAGTGTATACACAGGGAATTTAAAAAGATAGAAAGAAAAATAAACACAAAAGCAGAAAAGGAGAGAAAGATAAATTATTCTGAGTGGGAAAGATAGTATTATTAAATGAATTTTAAATGACAAGGGGTTAAATAACTGTTTGCTTAAATATTGGCACACAGTAAGTAATAAGGAAGTCATTTCAAAATGGCAAAACCATTATACAGAACTAATATCTGTCACCTCAATTTTTGTGACTGGTTTTACAGGTTCAACCTTGAGAAAGTCCCCTCTCCTTTCAGCTCCAAGCTTGAGATCCTGGAGGGATGCCACAATACTGTCAACAGATACAGGAGATGAAGGCATTGAGTGTCCTGAGCCTCCTGCTTTAGCAAAGTGAAGGATAGCAAAGCCTCTGTGGCCACGCCACGTGATATTAGTGGGTTTGATGTCTCTCTCTGCTAAAGCTGCCTTGAGGTCACTGACACGGACATATGGTGCAATATTGCCAACTCTGAGATTGAACTCAATTGCAGGTCGCTGTTGAGGACGGAATCGCCGACGTTCCTTCTCTGTATCTTTTCCAGGAACACTCTTTAAGAAAAAAAGGTAATAGAAGTATTACAAATTCAAAAATTTGCATAAAAATAACAGTAATACAGTCTTCAAGAAACATTAATACTTGTGTTGAGTGACTGTGTCTTAAGTTATTTAATGATGCTGATTCAATTGCATGCATCAGATGGGATAGGAAAATGACCATGAGATAAATGGATTTGGAGAAGTAGTCTCGACAAATTATAAGGCTCTATCTTGGCATTCACTTGGCAGGACTGATGAGACCATAGCAAACCTCCGTTGAGATAGTCCATACTGTAGGAGATATTCAGTTAGTTCAAATACAAGTCCAGAAAAACCCATGTTATAGAATATTTTCATTACATGTGATCATGCAATTTAAAACTCAAGTGTAATAATGTTCTCCATTGTTTGTATAAAAATGCTAGATACTTACCTGTCTAATGTTTAAAGGCATGAATAAGGGATTGCTCGCTGAATTTTAACTTGGGACACATGGCCAGCTAGACCATGACACATATGTAACAAACTTTAATCATCCTTTTCTCTCTGAAGTTAATCATCGTCCTTCCAAATGTTTGATGTCATTGACTTGTTATGGGTATAACAAAACAGTATATTTACATGTAATGCAGATAGCTTGGTGGGTAGAGTAAACTACCTATGAGACGGGTAAGCACAATTTTATTTCCTGCACAGTCAAGGACTTTCCTCTCCAGTGCCACATTCAGACTGGATGTGCCACCCACCAACCTCCCATCCAATGAATACCCGGGGCTCCTTCCCCAGACATAAAGCAGCAAGAAGTCAAACTGAACATTACCTCCATCTAATTCTAAGGTATATAATGTATGAGGCTGTACCTCCATGCCCCATGTCATGGTTTAATACAGGGGCAAATTGACTTAATTTTAACTGCAAGACTTAATGCAGGACACAAAATACTGTGACCCTGAAAAGAGTTAAATAGAGATAATATTTTACAGAAGATAGATAAGAATACAATATTATACCTCATTCTTGTTAACTTCTTCACCAGATATATCTTCAGATGTGGATGTTGTGTTCTTCCTAGCAACATTACGGAGCTGGAATAAACGTGTAGGCCCTTTGCTTTGAATGTCCTCGCCATCAAGCACAGATAGCTGTGATCCCGCAACAGCATCCTCTGAAGCAGCCGGCTTGCAAATATCATGTTTTCTGAAGTGATTCCTCCTGCCACCATGCCAATTAGATCTTTGACGTTCTTTAATATCAGTGTCAACTTCTTTCAGTGTGCAGTCATTTCCTTCACTGCATAAACACAAAGAAAATATTTATTATTATGGTGAATAAAGTTATGCAAGAATTTAAAAACAAATAAGCAATCTAGTTAGTTTTCAGTTCTCTTTACACATTTCATATTATTTTATATAAATTTTTTTAAAAGTGGAAAGAATCATACCATGAAGGCACACAGAGAGATATTGTTCCAAACATTCTAATAACAGTAGATGGAGGTAAACAGTCACTTTATTATCTGATTGCTTTATAGCTCAGTAGAGAAAGCCCCTGGTACCCATTCAATAGGATGCTCGGTAGGCACCACAGCCAGTACGGATATGAAGAGAAAATTCCCACCCTTGCCAGGAATCAAGGCACTGTCATCCAGACTGTACTGAGTGAACTATCCTGGTTCATGTACCTTCTCTGAGCTATTCTATTAATTTCATGTGACATTAGGGACAGGACCCTTAAATATGGGAACCACTACAGGAAACCAATGATTCCCAAACTGTATTCCATGGAATACTTGGGATATGTAATAGATTCTAGGGGGATCTTCCTTACTGTTCATTATAATTACCACCCTAAAATTAAATTCTACCAGAAAATCCTAAAGCTGTTTCTGCCCAACAGGAACCATTATGAAGATTATGATCCTAGTTTATTAAGTCCTATCAGCCATACAGTTGTACATACCTCTTCATTACACTCATCTCCCATTTACGTATTATTATTTTTAACCACTGGTCTTTCATTTGAATGTGAAAGTCTGCTAATTCTTTTTGTAACGTAACAATTCTGCTGCTAAATTTGGAAAACAATGCATTGAATCTCTGGTGTGTGTCTAATATGTTATTCAGGCTAAAGTTCTAACATAACTTTGATTTCCTGCTCACCCCAACTCTGCTTCTCGAAGAGTCTGCAGAATGGGTATATCATTCAGTCGTTGCCTTGAAAGAAAGCTCCAGATTATGCCATTAGGTTTGGGAAGACGTGGATCTACTTCTATCACTTGGGTTGGCGTTATAATGAAATCCACAGGTACATCATGAGCCTTGAAGAGCTGTGCAGGTAATGTCTTGAACACCTAACCATATGAATGCACTGCAATATAATTGGGTTACAGAAAAAATGAAGAGAACAGAAAAACACCATACATGTTCAACACAACGCCTGAACTATAATATTAGCCTGTGTTTTAATAAAGCTGGGTACTAGCACAATAGTTTTAAATAGTGGTCAGATCTCAAAAAGTAAGCAGAAATTACAACTAGCTGTCCAATCTCAAATATTAATTTGATACTAATAAAGAAACTTCAGCAGTGATCAGGTAAAATACTGTATTTACCAAAGATGAGATTACTTTAATTTTAATTTAAAAATATCTTATATTCATCAATGAAGAAAAATGTGTAGATGGGCATGATTCTGGAAAAACTACATCTGGCAACTGTGGCAAGTACTGAAACTTGTGTATCCACAGAATATTGTATCTATCTTTGAATACTTCTGAAGAAGTAAATATATTATCATTACCATTATCACCAACCCCACACATAATTTACTCACTTCTATAATTCTGGAGCAATGGCTGCTTCTGAGGTACATCCCCAAGATAACTAACTGGTTTTAAGCTTTCATAGCAATTCATTACTGATGTTCAGCCTGCTTTTGGGTGCTGGCACTGTGTGGTCAGGTATCAGTGAGGACAAGCAAGAAGGACAGACAGGAGGGGCCAAATGTAACTGGCTCCACAGAGGGGTTCATGATTTGGGTATGGCTGTGGAATCAGCCACAAGCCAATTTCTACACAGTGCCAGCACCCAAAAGCATATTACGAGGCGCGTCCCAAAAGTAAGTTTCCCACTCGTCCCACAGCTAGAAAACCTTATATTGCGCGAAGCGACTGTGTGTACGTGATAGAGCAATGACGTAGCATGGCGCATGCACTAAACAGCGAGTCTCCTGCAGGAGTTCAGCTGGGAGGTGTTTGATCATTCACCCTACAGCCCGGACCTCGCTCCCAGTCATTTCCATCTTTTCCTACACCTCAAGAAATTCCTGTCCTGTCAGCGTCAGCGTTTTGAGAATGACAGAGAGGCGGAGATGGTTGTCACACAGTGGTTCCAATCCCAGGCGGGCGACTTCTACGACACAGGTATTCAAAAGTTGGTCCTACGGTATGACAAATGTCTCAATTCCGGTGGCGAATATGTTGAAAAATAGCTGGACACTTGCTGTATCTGTTGCAATAAATATTTCCATGAAATTGTGTTTTGTTTCTGTAAACGGCCCCAGGGAAACTTACTTTGTAGACCAGCCTCGTACAATAAGGTGCATGTTTATATTATTAAATACTTCATATTTAAACACTTATATTTTCCTTAATATGCTTTATACATCATATAACTGAAATGTATAATCAATAAGTGTCCAACATCCCCAAGATGTTAATCTGTATGTCTAACTAGATGGCTTACAGAACCTGAAGGTTCATCACCGAACTCACCCATCCCCTCCACTGGACCCTGTCCTGGGCCAACAAAATCCAGTCTCCTTCAAATCCCATAGATCCCGCCTGACATTATCCTCCCATCTACGTCTAGGTCTCTCCAGCGGTCTCTTCCCCTCAGACTTCCCAACCAATACCCGGTGCACACCTCTTGCCCCATCTCATTCTTCTTGACTTAATCACCCTGACAAAACTGGGGGAGGAGTATAAATTTTTAAGTTCATTAATCTGTATGTCTAAAATCTTTAAATGTCAAGAGAATGGCCAAATCAAAGAGGATGAGATGGACAAGGCATGTAACATGCATAATGAGATGACAGATGTGCATAGAATTTTGATGGGAGGACCTGAAGAGAAGAGACCACTCAGATAACCTGCACATACATGGGAATATTAAAATAGATCTTAGGGAACTAGGGTATGAGGGTGTGGACTACATTAATGTGGCTCAGGATAGGGACAGGTGGCTCTCTTTTGTGAACATCATGAACATCCAGATTCCAAAAAAAAGGCTGGGACTTTCTTGACTAGCTAAACATACTATCAGCTTTTCAAGAAGTATTCTTCTTCATGCAGTCAGTCAAGCCAGCAACTCTTACCATTAATCAACCAGAAAAAAATTCCAGAAACAGAAATATCATTTGAAAATATTCTCATATTTGTAAGTAAGTCTCAAGTTGCCAGATGTCACTTAATTTTGGGATTTGGAATGATCCTTTGTAGTGGCTGTTGATTACTGATTTAAGGACAGTACATCAAACTGGTGCTATTATGTGAAACTTATGCTGTACAAATTATTTCAAAGGCACCAGGGTATAATGCCTGATATTTTTATGGTCCTCTACATTATCTCCAGACAAATGCTGGTAGAGTTTCTTTATATGGACCATGATGCTGTATCTACTCACTATTCACATCATTGTCCCATCTCATTTCATGCTACATAACTTTTGAAATTGAAATATATTTAAATAACACATGAAAAATCAATAAACTGAATATTTACAATGCACATACAGTAGGGCCCCGCTTTTCGGCACTCCGCTTTACGGCGCTCAACAGCCGAGTCAGAGAAGTGCGTCCAGCGCCATTTTCTCGTCGCCGATTCATTCTGTTTACAGCTTTTGTGCGCTCTGCGTCTCTCTGTATTTCTGGCAATTTTTCAGTTATTACAAACTGTATATTTATATAATATTTTTGTGTTAATACAGTGTAATCACAATGCCGTCTAAGGGTAGTAGCGATAAAAAGAGGAGTCGTAAGCCTCTTACTTTAAATGCCAAGTTAGAGATGATTAAACTTCGTGAACAAGGCATGTCTATGGCCGAGATAGGACGTAAGCTAGGCCTAGCTCGCCAAACTGTTAGTGCCATCCTGAACGCTAAGGAGAAAATGTTAAATGAAATTAAAAGTGCCACACCAATGAACTCTAAAGTCATAAGAAAAAGAGATAGCCTTATTGCCGACATGGAAAAACTTTTAGTTGTGTGGACTGAAGATCAAACGAGCCACAATGTGTGTACTACTGATATTCATTTTACTTTCATATCGTTTTCTTAGGCCTAGCGCTATTGTGCACTTACTATATGATTATAAATCTACTTAAATTCATACATAATAATAAAAGTAAAAAAATTGCATACCTTTCAAAAATATATAAAATAATAATGAGCATGTGATGTACCTGGCAATCATGTACTGTTGTAACAACAGTAGTGTTCTGGTTCACAGCCTCCATCTTCATCATCATTGCAAATTCAAGATCTGCATAACCTTCTCCTTTCCCTATTCTGTATCCTGCAATGGAATAAGCAAAAGAAATCACATGTACAAGACCTCTCTCTCTCTCTCTCTCTCTCTCTTTATATATATATATATATATATAAATTTAAACTGATTACAAGAATGTCAGCTTAGGTCAGGGATGTGTGGTTAGAAATTATGATGCACATAGAAATAATGAAAACGGAAAAGAAACACAAGGAAGGTCACCATATTCTGCAGGTCAACCAAGACAAAACAAAACAAAAATCATGTAAAAGCAAATATATTGATCAGAAGAGCATACATGCATATTCTGAATGTGGGTCAAGACATTTCATAAAAGTTGACAACAACCCAGAAGACAGTAATCTTCATTCATCACCCTGAAAACCTCAAATTCTACAAAGCTGACAAACTTGGTTAACCTTACTGTTAAAATATAAAACTCTGTATGATGGCTAAAGAGAAGTTACATTCATTTACCTTCCTTTGAAACAGCAACAGACCCTAAAACAAAAAGATCCAATTTGACTTTGTCATTAAGACCAACAGGTGTAACCCACAGGTCTAAGCATTCCTGGGAAGAAACTACCTTCAGCTCTTGCTTTGAGGCACCTGGAGGGGGTTTCACATGTTGGAATAATCCTGAGCGTAACCCTGGAATCGGCACTAACAAGTTCTTCTTTGCCTAATGAAAGGAAAATGTAATTATTTTCAGTTACACAAAATTGTTGAATTAAAAAAACCACAATACTCACTTCTAGAGCTAGAAATCGGACTTCTTCTTGTGGTTTATCTGGAGTCACTATGATGGTGGATGCATTTTTGAAAACATCAAGCTTTGACAATCTCTGACCTGCCTCTGGAGCACCTTTGAAATTGGGTATACGTCCGTGAACAGGCCGAGGAAAATACGCAAACTTATTTTTTTCCAAATAATGCCACACCTTCTTCCGAATAGCTTGCTTGGTCACCTCTACAGCTAAAATTAGGATATAAACACACACATTTGCAATACCACTCCAAGTGCCTGAATAACAAAGTATTTCTTCACATGAACATATTTCTAGTGATTACCCAAAGATTCTTCAATACCAATCATAGCTCTGATCAGTCACAATTGTTTACGTAACTAATACTTTCCTCATGCAAGTTCTCATGCTTCTACCAACTTTGTTTTCTACAAAAGTAGAACCCTTATCGCATTAAAATATACCACCGTATTATACCAACATCAAAAACTAGCACACACACACACACACACAGTTCGTGAACAAATTCGACCAACACACAAAAATACAATTATAAATAATGAATTGTAAAGACTACAACGACTGATTATCTACGAGGTATCTACAACCAACAGCTATAATCCAAACCCACAGAATTACGAAAATAACCGAAATCCCTATAATTATTTTGGGAACAAAAAAAAATCAAAATGATATTCATGAGGAAGTTAGGAGGAAACTAAATTCCGAAAACGCTTGCTACTTTTCAGTTCAAAATATTTTGTCTTCCAGTCTGATTTCTAAGAACGTGAAAATTAAATTAAACAAAACAGTAATTTTGCTTGTTATTTCGTATGGGTGCGAAACATGGTCTCTCACTTTGGGAGACGAACATTATTATTTATTATTATTATTATTATTCATTATAAATCTACTTAAATTCATACATAATAATAAAAGTAAAAAAATTGCATACCTTTCAAAAATATATAAAATAATAATGAGCATGTGATGTACCTGGCAATCATGTACTGTTGTAACAACAGTAGTGTTCTGGTTCACAGCCTCCATCTTCATCATCATTGCAAATTCAAGATCTGCATAACCTTCTCCTTTCCCTATTCTGTATCCTGCAATGGAATAAGCAAAAGAAATCACATGTACAAGACCTCTCTCTCTCTCTCTCTCTCTCTCTCTCTCTTTATATATATATATATATATATATATATATATATATATTTAAACTTATT